TCTTGTAACAGCCATATTTTAAAGTCTATTTTTTCAGATATAAGTATTGCTACTCTGGATTTTTTTTAAAATTTCAATTTGAATGGAATAGATTTTCCATCCCCTCACTTTCAGTATCTGTGTGGCAGTAGGTCTGATGTGAGTCTCTTGTAGGCAGCATATATACAGGTCTTGTTTTTTTATCCATTCAGCCACTCTGTCTTTTGGTTGGAGCATTTAGTCCATTTACATTTAAGGTAGTATTTGATATGTCTGTTCTTACTGCCACTTTATTAATTGTTTTGTTTTTGCTTTTGTATGTCTTTTTTTTTCTCTTCTGTTCTCTTCTTTTGTGATTTGATGACTATCTTTAGTGTTTTGTTTGGGTTCCTTTTTCTTTCTTGTGTGTATATCTGTTGTGGATTTTTGATTTGCAGTTACCCTGAGGTTTTTGTATAACAGTATATATATATATATACATACACACATATATACATATATAATATATATTATTCAATATATATTAATTATATATTGTTTAATATAAATTATATATTTAATATATATTAATTATACATATGATTGTTTTATGTTGCTGATCTCTTAATTTCAAATACATTTTAAAAACTCTGCATTTGTACTTTCCTCCCCTCACTGTTACTGTTTTTGATATTATATTTCACATCTAACTGTTTTGTTATCCCTTAACTGCTTATTGTGTATACAGATGATTTTAGTAGTTTTGTCTTTTAACCACCCTATTACTTTTGTGTATGGATGATTTACTACCTTTACTGTATGTTTGTCTTTACCGGTGAGATTTTTCATTTCATAACTTTCTTGTTTCTAGTTGTGGCCTTTTCTTTTGCACCTAGAGAAATTCCTTTAACATGTGTTGTGAAGCTGGTTTGTTGGTGCTTAACTCTTTTAGCTTTTGCTTGTCTGAACAGCTTTTGATTTCTCCATCAAATCTGAATGAGAGCCTCACTGGATATAATATTATTGTTTGTAGGTTTTTCCCTTCCATCACTTTAAATATACTGTGTCACTCCCTTCTGGTCTGCAGAGTTTCTGCTGAAAACTCAGCTGATAGCCTTATGGGAGTTCCCTTGTATGTTATTTGTTGCTTTTCCCTTGCTGCTTTTAATATTCTCTCTTTATCTGTAATGTTTGTCATTTTGATTACAATGTGTCTTGATGTGTTCCTCTTTGGGTTCATCCTGTATGGGACTCTGTACTTCCTGGCCTTAGGTGACTTTTTCCTTTCCCAGGTTAGGAAAGTTTTCAGCTCTTATGTCTTCAAATATTTTCTCAGACCGTTTCTCTCTGTTCTCCTTTTGGGACCCCTATAATGTGAATATTAGTGCACTTGATGTTGTCCCAGATGTCTCTTGAACTGTCCTCATTTCTTCTCATTCTTTTTTCTGTTCAGTGGCAATGATTTCCACTACTTTGTCTTCCAGCTCACTGATCGTTCTTCTGCCTCATTTAGTCTACTATTGATTCCTACTAGTGTATTTTTCATTTCAGTTATTGTATTGTTCATCTCTCTTTGCTTGTTCTTTGTATTTTCAAACTCTTTGTTAAAAACTTCTAACTTCTCACTCTTCATCCATTCTCCTCCCAAGTTCTTTCATCATCTTTATGATCATTACTCTGAACATTTTCTCTGGTAGAGTGCCTGTCTCCACTTCACTTAGTTCTTCTTGGGTTTTATCTTGTTCCTCTTTTTTTTTTTGCCTAGGCTGCACGGTTTTGGGGATCTTAGTTCCCCGACCAGGGATTGAACCCACACCCTCGGTAGTAAAAGCACAGAGTCCAAACCACCAGGGAATTCCCACTGTTCCTTCTTCTTGAACATGCTCCTCTGCTGCTTAATTTTGTCTAAGTTGGTATCTGTACTTTTATGGATGTGGTAGATTAATTACGTTTCTCAACCTTGGAGATGTGGCCTTCTGTAGGAGACGTCCTATGCATCCCAGTAAGCACACTCCCATTTTGTCACCCAAGCTGTATGCTCTAAGTGTTTCCCCTAAGAGGGCTGCATGTTTCCTTCTATTGTGTCAGGCTATGTGGGCAGTCTGGTAGGCTTGGTTGGTCCCTAGCCTGGTTAGTTTCCAGGCCCTGCCTTGTGCAGATGCTGCTGGCTGCTGGTTAGTGGGGCCTGGCCACAAGGCAGCTACCTGCAGAACCCCAGTGGGCTCCAGGTCTAGTGCTGGCTCTCTGTTGGGCAGAGTCAGGGTCTAGAAGACTCCGAGGGTGTTGCCCCTTAACTGGTGGGTGAAGCCAGGTCCTGGAGTTAGTACCAGACTTTTAGCAGGCATAGCCAGCCAGGTCCTGGAGTGTGGCTGCAGGGCCCAGGGTTCCCAGAGCTGGTCAGATAACTGGTGGAGGGGGGACTGGTTCCTGACACAGTGGGATATGAGGCCTAGAGTGTCCTGAAACTTGTTTTGACCTGCTGATCAGCAAGAGCCCAACTCTTCCCAGGATAGGGTCTGGCTTGCTGTGGGTGGGCTGGGTCTGCAGGCTAAGGATTGTGGTTTTCTTAAGTCTTGTGTCTGCCCCATGGTGGGTGAGGCTGGTCTAGAGGCTTGTGCAGGCTTCCTGGAGGCCATTGGCAGTGCCTGCCCACTGGTGGGTGGAGCTGGGTCTTGGCCCTCTGGTGGGCAGAGGTGTATCTAGGACTGTGTCTAGAGGTGACTGTTGGCTTGGGAGGTCTTTAGGCAGCCTGTCTGCTGATGGGTGAGGCTGCGTCCCAGCCCAGCTAGTTGTTTGGCCTGACGTGTCCCAGTACTGGTGCTTGCAGGCTGTTGGGTGGGGCCAGATCTTGGTGCTAATGAGCTAGAGGGAGGATCCCACAATAGCAGCCACCAGCAGATGTACCCATGTGGTAGAAAGCTCCCAAATATGGCTGGCACCAGTGTTTATGTCCCAAGGGTGAGTTGCAGGGGCCCCCTGCCCCCACCTCTCCAAGAGACTCTCCAAGACCAGTAGGTAGGTCTGGTCCAGGCTCCTATCCAATTACTGCTTTTGCCCTGGGTCCCAGTGTACATGAGATTTTGTGTGCACCCTTTAAGAGTGAAGTCTCTATTTCCCAGTCCTGTGGGACTCCCAAAATAAGCCCTGCTGGGCTTCAAAGCCAAATGCTCTAGGGGCTCATCTTCCTGGTACAGGACCCCCAGGCTGGGGAGCCTGATGTGGTGCTCAGAACTCTCAGTCCTGTGGGAAAACCTCTGCAATATAATTATTCTCCAGTTTGTGGGTCACCCACCCAAAGGTATAGGACTTGATATCACAAGTCCATCATTCCTGCCCAACTTGTTGTGGTTCCTTCTTTATGTCTTCAGTTGTAGAAAATCTTTTCTGTTAGATTCTGGTCCGTTTCACAGATAGCTGTTCTGCAGACAATTGTGATTTTGGTGTGCTCATGAGGGGAGGTGTGCTCAAGGTCTTTCTACTCCAGTATCTTGGCCCCTCTCTCCCTATCCCTATGTTCTTTATGTCCTTTCTCTATATTCCAGCCTAGTCCATCTTCTCCCTGTCAGCACACGGTAGGCATCTGATAAATATGTGTTGAATGAATGAATGAATATTATGCTTCAAACTTCTCCTGGGAAATGTGATCCATCCCCATAGCTTCAATAAGTAAGTCAAACTGATGAGGTCTAAATATCTATCCCTAAACTGTATTTCTCACCTGGGCAATAAACTTGCATCTCCACAAGTACCCCATGTCAATATGTTTACAACTAAAGATTTCCAATTAAATACAACAGAATAATCATATACAATTATCTCTTTTCCTTCCCCAATCTCTGCTAAAAGGATGGCAAAGGAATTTCTTTAAGAAAGAAAGGGGAAAAAAAGGTACAAATCCACAAGGGTAAAGAGGACAGAAGAGAACAGTTAACTAACGATTTCAACAAATTTCTGGAAGGTGGAAAATGGACAGAGGTGAAAATAACTGAGTTAGGAGAGTAGCGGGGGTTAGGACAGTAGGGATGTGGTGTTTTATCTCATCACTAAGAATATTAATAAGTTACAATTTTTTTCTGCTTTTTAAATTGGCTGTTTCCTCCAGGTGCCTTTTTTCCCCTTCTGTTTCTCTTTTCCTTTTAAAGGTTTCTAAATGATAAAACAGATACTGGGTGAGGGCAGGGTGTGAAGGGGGGAAAGAAAGCTGATTCAGCCTACAGAACCCTGGAAGGGCTCAGCATATGGAGACCCCAGGTACCACAGAGAACAGAGCTTATGCACTATCTGAACTGAAACATAGGTAAAGTGACAGTGTTTCATAATGAAATGTGATATACAGAGCCACCTTCTCAGATGCTACTCAGGAAAACTGCAGCTGGTTTATATTCACCAGGAAGATTAGAAGAATGTTCTCTGAGAAATTAAATAGTCTAAGGGGAAGGCTTCCAGGTATTTGGAGGTTCCCTCAACAACAAAATCCACCATCAACAAGCCCTGCTTATGCCAACATAGCTTCCATTCAGCTTTTTAATGCCCCATTCTTAAGTATGAACAGACAGAAATTCACATTGTGAACATAAATGTCAGACAGGGATTAACAAACATTTGAGAACTGAAAAAGAGAAAATGAAGGGGGAGAAAAGGCACCCGGAAGAAACAGAGCTGGTTAAGTACGAAGAAAAAAAATGGCAATTGATGTACTTAGAGATGAGACAAGATATTACAACAAAAAAATAAGTACAGGGTGTTATGAAAAAGGGAATAAACAGAAAAAACAAAGAGTGCTTGGGATTTAAAATAAGATAGCCATAAAAAATTATTCAAAAATTAGAAGATAACATCAAAGAAATGTCACAAAAAGTAGTCCCTCTTACCAGGGAAAAGAAAAAAGAAAGGTAAGATTAGAGGGAAAAAACACTTTAAAAAAATAATTAGAGAATTGATTCAGGAAGACAATAATTGCCTAAACAAATCGCAGAAAAAGACAACAGAGAATTCTGTGGGGAGGAAATTATCAAAGAAGTGATACAAGTAAATATCCCCCTGGAAGCAGGACTGTGAGGTAGCGAGAAGTGAGGCAAAGCTTTTATTACATTTTTATTTTTACACTGTGTGCATTTACTACCATGACAAACAATTTACAAGAAAACAAACAAAAAAACCCCTCAGTTTCTTACCCCCAAATCTGTCCTTCTTTTCTGTATTCCCTTTCTCTGCTAATGTTATCATCACCAGTTGGCTCTAAAACAAGTTCTACTCTGGATAGATTTTCCACACATCTCTTCTCTATCTCTACTGTCCTCACCTGATCCTGTCACCTCTCCCTGGAATAGTTCCACAATATCATTACTGCTAGCTCTGTTTTTGGCCTCTACCTCCCTGCACTGCCCCCATCCTGCTATTGAAATGCTTTCTTTTGGCTACACGGCATGTGGGATCTTAGTTCCCTGACCAGGGATTGAACCCACACCCCTTACATTGGAAGTGTGGAGACTTAACCACTGGACCACCAGGGAAGTCCCCCCTTTTTTTTTTTTTTGAAATACTTTTAAAAGTTTTTCTTGCCTGCAATGGACTGCCGACAATGCTCTTCTTTTGCAGTCCCCTACCTCTGGGATACATAAACCTTGAGGCTTAGAGTTGGTAGGTAGGTACTGTCCCTACCTACCTTATTCACCACGGCCACTCCTAAACCTCCCTGCCTTCTTCAAAACTCCAAGTTCTTCTGAAGAATATTTCATCTGACCATACTAGCCAATATTGCTCTTTTTGACTGTTACCTGGCTAATAAGTTACATTGGTTCACTGAAATTCTAGCAGCCGGCTCACCAACTTTCTTTCTACCACTACTTCTATCATAATCCTTGACAATTTCAACATCCATATTAAAAAAAAAAATCCTTCCAATACTCTGGCTTCTTACTTTTTAAATTTCCTCAACTTCATTGATATACTCCATTTGGGTCACCACTGCTGTGGTCATACTCTGGATCTTGCTGTCTCCACCTTCTAACTACAAGCTCCTTCCTCTCCAGTTTCCCTCAAGCATCCCTGACCCAACATTCTCCAATAGCACTGGAAACGCTCATCAACTGAAAATTCTTCCTCACCACCCATCACTCAGCCCTTGTTAAATACCATGTTTCAGTGCTATGATCACCCCCTTGAAATCATTTTGCTCCTTTCTCTCTCCATCCTACTTGCCCTGCTTGTCCAACCCTAATTAAGCCTTACTCTGCTCCTAAACCCAAGTAGCTAAACTTTCCTCCAGAAATGGAGAAAAACATGACAGAATCCCTTTTTGGACCAAAATTATCAAACGGCAAATAACATTGCCCATTGGTCAGTCCCACTGATTTCCCTGGTAAATTTGTCCTCCGCTCTCCAAAATGCTCACTTCTCTGTAACCTTTTCCCCTTCCTACTTGCAACAACACATGCCATCCCTTGGCTGACAGCCTTGCCTCCCTTTCAGGCCTCATTGAAAAGCCAAAAGCTATCAGACAAGAGCTGTCTGTATCCTCCTCCTACCATCAATGCTATTAACTCAAGCTACACCTGAGCCTATGTACTATGCATTCTCTCCTGAAAAAATGGAAGAAATTTCCTTGCTCCCACATATGCCATCATTTATTTATTTATTTTTTGCTATTTAAGAACTGCACTGCTAAAACCGTCCTTGATCTCTCCTAAATCTTCAAGTACCCTCCTTCACCTAGATCATCAACATCAGCAGGGACACCTGTTTATTATCACCTATTGTAAGCAAAACAAACAGAAAATGTCCTTGACCTATGCCCTCTTCCAGCTCCCACCTCACTTATCTTCTCGTCACTCTAAAACTTCTCCCAAGAGTTGTCTTCAGATATGGTCTCCACTTTGTTACCTCCCATTCTCTCAACTTACTTTGCACTTTCATACTAGTTTTTCATATCATATATATATATTACACAGGAGGGACATAGAACATGGTTGTTAAGCTTGGACTTTGAACTTAGTTCTTATCCCTATTCTGTGACTCACTTTTTTGTATAAAAGCAGCATAGCTTCTCGGTGCCTCAGTTTCAACTATAAGATGGGGATAATAAAAGTATCTCATAGGGTTGTTGTGAGGCTTAATGAGTTAGCACATATAAAAGCACACAGAATACTGCCAGGCATATAGAAAGTATTCAATACGTGTTTGCTACTGAGGTCAACAGTGGCCTTCCTTCATCTTACCATATGCAACAAGGAAGGCTCTTTCCTGCTTTTCCTCGTCTGTCAGGTAGCACTGGACAGACTGCACAATTCCCTGCTTCTAACACTTCTACTCATGGCTTCTGTGACATCATACTCTACTGGGTCTCCTTCTACTTCATGGCTGCTCCTTCTCAGCATCCTTGCTAGCTGCTCAATTTCTAAATATCTGAATACTCAGCCCTCTTTTTACTATCTAAACTCTTCCTAGGTAACCTGATCCAGTCCCATGCTTTTAAATACCACCTACATACTGATGTTGCTTAAATTTGTATCTCCAATCCTGGCTCTCCCCTGAGCATCAGACAAGTATCTAACTGACATTTCTACCAGGATATTAAGTTGTACCACGAATCTAACAGACCTAGGACAGAATTCTGAAGGACTCCCCTCTTTCCATTCTCAGCCTATACGTCTGCTCCTATCACTTTCTAATTCTGTGATAGTTATCATCACTCACCCAGTGGATCAGGCCTAAAAACTAGAAGTCATATCTGAGTTTTCCTCCTTCCCTCAACCAGACACCCAAATGTTAGCAGTCCTGTTTGCCTCACCTCCAAAATACATCCCCAATCCACCTCTACTTCTTATCATGTCGCTGCTGCCACGTTAATACAGACTATCACAATTTCTTTCCTGGATACTGCAAATCCTCCCAATGAGTCTCCCTGCTTTGATTCTTGGTCCCCAGCAAGCCAGTTTCCTCACACAGCCAGAGCAATCTCAAAGTATAAAACAGATCACATCAATTCCCTGCTTAAAAACTTTCAAGGGCTTCCCAATACAATTATGATAAAATCTGAACTACTGAACTCAGGATTATATATGATCTGGCCCTGCCTGACTCTCCAACCTTCACTCCTACTATTTTCCCCATTGCTTTCTCCACTCCAGCCACACCAACCTTTCTTCAAACACATCAGATTCATTTCTGCATTGGGGCCTGTGCACTGGCTGTTTCCTCTGACTGGATATCTCTTTCTGCAGATTTTAGCAAGGCAAGGCTAGCTCAGCAGCATGTTACCACTTCAGAGATGCCCATCCACCTAAAAGAGTGGACCCACTCCTCCACCCAGTCACTATTTATCCCAGTAGTGCCCTGTTTTATTTTCTTTATAGCACCTAGAGCCACATAAATTGTTTATATGTTTAGTATCTGTTTCCTATCACTGTCATGTAAGATCCCATGTGGGCAGCAGGGACCCTCTCTTATTCACAGATGAATCTCCAGCATCTAGAATACTCACTCGCACATAGTAGGTATTCAGTAAACATTGATTCAATTTGAAGAAAATGAAAACAACAGTATTCACTTTTTGCCCTTAGCACAGGGGTAAATGAAGATCCACTCCAAGTACTGACAAGTTAATTTTGATATATCACTAGTCAAGATTGGTATGTTAAACAAAGTCAGTTACTATGTAAATCAATTATCACTAAAGAAAGAATATTGGTACATCTTATCAGAATTATCATACAAAAAAGAAACAAACTTGCATTTTTTGGTACTTCCATGTATTATTTTACATCCCCACAATAAGTTTCTAAATTAGATAAGGTATTGAACATTGAAAAAAATGAGGCACCTTCCAGATAAGTAGATGTAAAACTAGGTCTATAATACCTGTGTTCTTTCTTTCAGATCATGAATTTGTTGACATTATAGGTTGCCTAGATATTTTAGAGCAGTTCCAATCAAGTAGCAGTAGAGTCAATGAGATATTTTAAAAACCTCAATAGAAATTTCAAACAGTTAATATAGTTTACAATGCCTAGAATACCAAGTATCTTGACTTTAAGAAAAATTGATTCAGCTTAAAAACACTAATCTAGTAACAGGTGTATTGATTGGTTTGAAGAAGTCTTTGATGAACAAAAATGGAATTTTAGTAATAAATGTTTGGTGGTCAAAATCTTTTAAAAAATGCACCATTGGGGTAGTAAAACAGGGTATCACAAGCCCACAGGATCAAGTCCAAATTCTGCAGTATACAGAACATTTTTACTCCGACCCCTGCTTCTCTCCCAGCTACTTCTCACCACATGTTCATGATGGTTAAGGTCAGCCTCATAACCATCTAGAAAATTCCTGCTTATCTTTCACCAACTCAAACATCTCCTCTTTGTAACCTTTCTTAATCCCTTCTCAGGCTGAGCTATCTCTTATCTATGTTCTCAGATGAACTCTGAGCATGATTTTAAGTATAATGTATTACAGTATTTATTCTATGTTTTCCTGGCTAGGCTGTAAATGTTTACTGAATTAAAGAAATATATCATTCAAATTCCTAAATCAATATGCAAAACATTTCTCACAGAGCAAATGTTCAACTAACATTGGTCAAACTAATTAATTACTGATTGAATGAAAAGTTTTATTAGGATTATGGTTACAGCTAAAAGTTGCCTAAATGACTTAATCTGTGTAAAACTGAAGATTTTTTAGATATAACAACTATATCTAAAACGCCCAGGAACACAAGCCTATATATGCTGTTTTTTACACACAAGTTTATTGCTACCCTGGCAAATTCTACATTCTCTCTACATAGGAGAATTTGCTCGTGTAGAATAATCACCTGTTAAGTTTCACCGCATCTAACAGGTTCCAAGAAGGATGGTCAGGCCACAAAATCTCACCAATATTTTGACCCAACAAACTCTGACTCCTCCCAAACTGTTCTCTGCTTAGAAGTGAAAAAATAAAATAAAACCAAATGAAGATGCCTGGATTGAGTGCTCAGTCCTTATGGGGCTCACAGACCCCCATGAGCAGGAAAAAAAAAAATGAATTTTTCTAGATTTCTGACAATATGAATATTCTTCAAAGATCCCATTGCTGTTTCCTGCAGTTGATCAACACCATTGCAGGTTAATCACTAGAAACTTGACAACTGACTAACCTAGCAGAAACATGAAATACAGTCTAAATAGGAACCACTTTTAAATGAATTTACTGAACTTTATATTGCCCCAACAGATTTTCATTTCTTGATAGCCCACTAAGAAAAGATACAGACTTTTAAAACTTAATAAAAAGCATTGAGTGCTACTTCAGTAATCCGTTGATATACTATCCTTAACGTGTATTTATTAAGATTTTTGATTTCAACTTCAGTAAAATATTACTCATTTCAACTTCAGTAAAATATTACTCAACATTTAACATTAAAAAATAATGCATTGATATTTCTAATTTTAAAATTAACAACGTAACTAATTATAACTATTTGTACAAAGTATAGCAAAGTATAGCAAAATATTAGTGTCTCAAGATTACTACATACCAATCTAAGACTGAGTCCAAAGCAGTGTTTTAAAATTTTCCTTTCAAAACCCAAACTTCATTTCTCTGTTACCAAACATGACTTCAGTTAGCGATTTACAAATATTTACACAGGGAAAAATATACCAAAAGCCATCAACAAAGACTGTTTTTGATTACTCTGGGATTCTAACCCATTTAGATTCTTCTAAGAATCATCTTGAGCATGCAGTTTAGAAATGCTTGTTTGAACGACTTAATCTTACATTGTTCATAAACACACAACATATTGAAAGAACACATGAAAAATTGTTGCTTTTACTGGTATTAGAGGGTAGTTTTAATACAAGCTAAATACAAACACAATTGTTAGATTCAGTCACTTATCCTGCAAAACAATATGCCAAGATCAACCTTGAAGCCAAGATCAACCTTGAAGCATTTATAAAAATGAAAATGTATAAAATATCTTCCTCAATTAACTCTAAGGACTCTGTATACAAATGCAAGAATTTGAACTTATCAATACATCAAATGTTGAGCAACTAATTGAGCAGTAAAAAAACAATTTCTGATCTTAAAATTAAATAGCTCCAGGTAAAAGCATGTAATTTCCCACATCTACTATCTTTGTATTCTGCACAGAGTTCCAAGGCAAAGATTGCTTCTGGATTTATGCATTACCAGAGAGGATGACCTGTTTGGCTGGCTTATCACAGGCCTTTTAGTCTTCTTTCCTGATAGATCCTTTGCTCCTTTGGGAGGAGGCACAGGAACTGGTTTCCATGGAATTGGGTTATAAAAGGCTGGCTCTGGATAAGAATTTCCACTGTAAAAACCTAAAATTATGAAAAAATCAGAACAAAACAAGAAGAAAACTTTTTGAGATCAAAGAAACTACATATTTTAAAATTCATAGAAAAATGTTAAAAGGGCAAAAATATCATTGATAAACCAATTTGACTCATTTAAAACTTGAACTCTCAAATATTTTCAAACACAGTAAGTGTTGAAGTAAAAATTAAAATATAAATCTAAGCATTCAAAGAACATTAATGTTCAAATCTATATATATAGAAACTCATAAAAGTTCTCCTAAGAAATTAATTTTAGAACCCTTAAATTGAACAAAATCTTCATTTTAACTCAGTCAGGGAAACCGCTGATTGTGTACATGTTTCTCCTAGTCGGACACTAAAGTTTGCAGAAAAAATGTATGTTGCATATGTAGCTAAAGTGAATCAAGATTCTTATTTAGAACCACTTAAATTCTAAATCACTGTCACTTAATCAGATTTCATAATATCACTGTAATTTTGATAATTAAGAGCAGTAGAGCATTTGCAAATATATTTATTAGAATAAAACTTATTTAAATGCAAAAAATAAAATAATCCATTATTTCACCAATTAAGTTCTAGTCAATATGTATATTCCACCTAAGTTTTAACTTTACTATCCAATCATTTGGTTAAAACCACTGCTTATTACTCTTATTTCAAACGAGAACAAAAAAACAGAGCAGACCCTGCTCGGTAGCTGTAATGGATGACCTCTGTGACATGCAGGAGAGGCCTAAATCCTGACAGCAGGAATGTGTCATTCAGACATTGGCAACCCACTTTGACTGCATAGATATGTCAACACACACTTCACCACGGTGGTCAAAACAAAGTCTGGAATATGTCCTATTGTGTGAACAAAACAGAATGGGAGTATTTTTAATAATAAATCACTTAAACAAGTGAAGGCAGCTGTCAGCAAGGCATGAGCTTCCAACATGAAGTACAAAGAAAAACATGCATTGCCATTTATAATCAGACCAAGCCTAAAGGCCAACCAGGTCTGTGTCTGGTTCATGTGCTGTCTAGTATTCCACCCTGCAAAAAGAATGTGCCAAAGACACTGGAAGCTCTGCCTCAGAGAGGGTTAGAAAAGGGGAAGAAAATGACCCCTTCAATATATCCTGATTAAGGCTTTAAAATCCAAGGAATGTAAGAAAATTTTACTTGTTTCTTAACCTTAGAAATCATTACTTTGCAGTTTTACCACTATTGCCTTTAAAATGTATCTGGTTTTAGAGAATGACAACAAATTTGTAGTATCTCCACAGGAATACAGTATGTTATAATCTTCCAGAAAATAGTAATTTGAAAGAAAAAAGATTTTTACACATTTCTATTTCTGTCAAAAGGAAACATAATATATAATATTCACTCCTGCAAGCCATATTTATGTAACCCACATAACATAAAAACCAACCTGTGAGTTTTCCATTGGCATAACCATAGCTCTTTGCAGCTGGACGAGGTTTATTTTTTGCATTTTCCAACCATTCCTTAAACTTTTTTTCTGCTATTTCCTTTTTTTCCTGTAATTCAGCCTGCCGTTGTTTTTCTTTTTCCTTAAAATGACAAGACCAAAGAATCTCCAGGGATATTCTGTAACTAAAAATTCTATTCAAATTCTACTGACTCTTTTCCCCAGTAGCTCCCCATCCCAATGGCTTTCTGATCAGAAATACTGAATCATAATTCTATAGAGAGCAAAATTTAACATGATCAGGGATGTGATATGAAGGTGGCTGCCTCTAAATAATGACATTAAACCTAAGAAGAAAAAAGCAATTTGCTGTTTTAAAATAGAATAGTAATTTATAATAATGTAATAAAACTTTCCATAAAAGTGCATTGAATAATATTTAAAAGCATAAACAACAATAAAAAGTTTGAACCTGACTGCAGAAATATCAATAGGCTTATTAATACTTCTCAACCTAAGAAAACCACAAATGCATATTCATTTCTGAAGCTTAATTATAGTATAACAAGTAGGGGTAGCTACATGTATTTATATTATGATAAGATAGTGCCAATTTTCTATTAGAAACTCTTTATACAATATAGCTGGCACATGTAAACACGAAAGTCATGTATTCTAACTGATCACTTTAGTGAAAATACCTTTTCTTTCTTCTTCTTCTCACATTCTTCAGCATTTTTTTTCTTTAACCATTCTTCATATTTTTCTTTTGCTTTTTCTTGTAAATGTTCTTTCTCCAGCTCCTTTGCTGCTTTTTCCTCCCTTTCTTTATTAATTTTTTGTTCCCTTTCTTTTCTTTTCTTAAATAAAAATGAAGGAATTTTAATTGGAATATCTGTAATCATCCTCATACAAGGGAGAAGTGTTATATGCAGCAATTCTCTAAACTTCAGTTATTTCTTAAAATAGGTGGTAAAATAGTGGTTGACACAGTGTGGCTTATGAAAATATATAACATACCTGCACTTACCTGATCAATTTTAGTCTACCAGCTTGAGTATACGTTTCATGATGGCCATAACAAAGGTCTTGTTTGACAAAGTACACTCAGAGCCTGGAACAGTGTTAAGTAAATAGTAGGTGTTCTATAAAGATTTGCTGAGTAAATTAGTGGACAGAAATTATGACCTATTAGACTGTCCTGAATCTTAGTGGGTTTTTTTTGATGGATGTTTACCCCCACTCTAAAATAGGAGCCACATGTGTACACATTCCCCAGACAATTTGCCAATACAAATACTTGGATAAATTTTCACCATCAAAGAGTTACAGAGCACAAATTTTGGCCCATTAAGTACTGCTATAAGGGCACATACAGACAAATCTCTGGCTATGTAATTCTTATAAGCCTTACACAGATCAAGGATTGGCAAACTATGGCCTGCAGGCCAAATATGGTCCATCAACCACCTGTATTTGTAAACAAAGTTTTACTGAAATGTGGCCACACATTTATTTACATATTTATTGCCTATGCTGCTTTTGCACCACAACAGCAAAATTAAATAGTTGCAACAGAGATTGCATGGCCCACAAAGCCTAAAATTTTATCTAGCCCCTTGAAGAAAAAACTTGACACAGACTATAAGTCAATGTTTCTTCCTTTTCTCACTCAAAAGATAATCTACCAACACAGCTAAATTCTAAATAACCAATGACATGGCTAGCTCTCTTAATCAAAGGTTTAGAAAATAATCTGCAAACATGAAGTATATGCAATACAAATGCCACATACATCACCCTTCATCGAGCAAAGAAATATGAGCCAAGAAATTCTTCCCTTAAAAGCATCTTGTAGAATACTTTAATACAAGCAATTCAAATAAGACCCAAGTAACGAACATCAGTTACATACAACATATGTCCAGTGCTGTGCAGGAAAGGCGGGTCTTAAAAATCAAAGCACGGGAATTCCCTGGTGGTCCAATGGTTAGGACTTTGTGCTTTAACTGCTGAGGGCACAGGTTCAATCCCTCCTCAGGGAACTAAGATCCCACAAGCCTTGAGGAGAGGCCAAAGAATAAAAAAATTAAAGCCCCTGTCATTCCACAAGTTGCTATATTTCCTTATTGTTGGTCTGCCAATAGCTGCAAAAGGAAATCCTTTCTTGCTGAGAACTCAATATCCATTGAAATAATGCTGGAATTTAACTATTGGGTTAAATTCCACAAAGAAGTTAAGTAATCTGCCCAAGGTCGCACAGATGGTAAATGATAGATCACTACATATCTCTTATATACATATGAGAGAACACTGAAAACAATTTTTTGCCAATAAATTCAATTTAAATAAGATGTCAAAATTCCTTAAAAATACATCACTTTCCAAAACCGATTCAAGAAGAAATAGAGTAACTGAATGAGCCTCTACTTGTAAAAACAATTCAGAATTTAAAACTTTCCCACAAAGAAAACTCTAGCCTCCAGTTGCTTCACTGGTAGAGTCTATCACACATCTAAGGAAGCAACAGTACCAATTACTACACAAATTGTTTTAAAAAACAGAAAAAGGGAACACTTCCAAGCTCATTTTAGGAGCCCACTATTTCTCTAAAGTCCAAACCAAATATGAAAATTACAAGATAATATTAGGAATAAGTCAAGATAACTGCTCTCATCAGAAACATGAAATACTTAGGGATACATTTTAAAAAGACGTATAATAACCCTGTACGTTGAAAACAAAAAAAAGAAGGAAAAAACAGATAAATATGGCTTAAATAAATAGAAAAAAATCATGTTTATAGATTTATAATTTGATATTATTAAGATAGCAATTTTCTCCTGAATGATCTATATATTTAATGCAATCCCAATAGTATCAGGCACTATTCAAGCAAGCATGATTAGGGAAATTGATAAGCTAATTCTAAACAGAAAGGGTGCAGAGCAGCTAAAACAATTCTGAAATAGAAGAAAAACGATGGAAGACTTACACTATTTGATTAGAAAAATTTTAAATTCAAGAATTACTATATAAAGCTATAGTAAGCAGATAGTGTAGTACTGGCATAGGATATGGATCAATTGAACAGAATACAGTCCAGAAATAGACCCAGGCGTATTTGGCCAATAGATTTGAAATAAAAATGTCAGGGTAACTGAGTAGGGAAAATATTATCTTTCAACACAGTGTTGGAACAACTGTATATCCATATTCCAAAAAAATGAACCTTGACCCTTATCACATGCCAACATTAAAATTAACTCAAAATGCAAATAGGTAAAAGCTGAAGTTATAAAACTTCTAGAAGAAAACAATGGAGAATATTTTATAACCGTGGCATAGGCAAACGTTTCTTTAATAGAACACAAAACCCACAGACTATAAAAGAAAAAACAGAAATATGGAACTTAACCAAAATTTAAAATTTCTGCTCTTTAAACATATAAAAATATTAAAAGGAGGAAATATTTATAATACATGTTACAGGACTTAAAGGAATATAAGAATTCTTACAACTTACTATTAAGACACACAAAATGGGAAAAACTTAAACACTAAACTAAACAAACAAAAAACAAGAGATGTAGAAATGGTCAGTAGTGCTATGGATTGAATTCTGTCCCATCAAAATTCATATATTGAAGCCCTAATCCTCAATGTAACTTTTTTTTCTTTTTTTTAAATTGGAGTATAGGTGGTTTACAATGTTGTGTTTAGTTTCAGGTGTACAGCAAAGTGATTCAGTTATACACAGACACATTCATTACTTTTCAGATTCTTTTCTCATATAGGTTATCACAGAATATTGAATAGAGAGTTCCCTGTGCTATACAGTAGGTCCTTGTTGTATACAGTAGTGTGCGTATGTTAATCACGAGGCTCCTGATTTATCACCCCACCCCCCCATGTTTCACCTTTGGTAACCATAACTTTGTTTTCAATATGTGTAAGTCTGTTTCTGCTTTGTAAATAAGTTCATTTGTATCATTTTTTAAAAATTTGATACCACATATGAATGACATCATATGATATTTCTCTTTCTCTGACTTACTTCCCTAAGTATGATAATCTCTTGGTCCATCCATGTTGCTGCAAATGGCATTTTGTTCTTTTTTATGGCTGAGTAATATTCCATTGTAAGTATGTACCAACTCTTCTTTATTCCTCTGTCAATGGACACTAGATTGCTTCCATGTCTTGTCTACTGTAAACAGTGCTGCAATGAACACTGGGGTACACCTATCTTTCTGAATTATGGTTTCCTCCAAATATATGCCTAGGAGTGGGATTGCTGAATCATATGGTAGTTCTAGTTTTAGTTTTTCAAGGAACCTCTAAAATGTTCTCCATACTGGTTTTACCAATTTACATTCTCACCAACAGTGTAGGAGAGTTCCCTTTTATCCACACCCTCTCCAGCATTTATGCTTTGTAGACTTTTTGATGATGGCCATTCTGACCAGTGTTAGGTGATACCTCATTGTAGTTTTGATTTGCCTTTCTATGGTAATTGGTTTTGTTGAGCATCTTTCCATGTGCTTTTTGGCCATCTGTATGTCTTCTTGGGAGAAATGTTTACTTAGATCTGCCTACGTTTTCAAAAAATTTTATTTTATTTACTTTTTTATACAGTAGGTTATTAGTCATCAATTTTATACGTATCAGCATATACATTGCAATCCCAATCGTCCAATTCATCATACCACCATACCCACACCCCCGCGGCTTTACACCCTTGGTGTCTGTAAGTTTATTCTCTACATCTGTGTCTCAACTTCTGCCCTGCAAACCAGTTCATCTATACCATTTTTCTAGGTTCCACATACATGCGTTAATATACAATATTTGTTTCTGTCTTTCTGACTTACTTCACTCTGTATGACAGTCTCTAGATCCATCCATGTCTCAACAAATGACCCAATTTCATTCCTTTTTATGGCTCAGTAATATTCCATTGTATTTATGTACCACATCTTCTTTATCCATTTGTCTGTTGATGGGCATTTAGGTTGCTTCCATGACCTGGCTATTGTAAATAGTGCTGTAAAGAACATTGGGGTGCGTGTGTCTTTTTGAATTATGGTTTTCTCTGGGTATATGCCCAGTAGTGGGATTGCTGGATCATATGGTAATTCTATTTTTAGTTTTTTAAGGAACCTCCATAATGTTCTCTATAGCGGCTGTATCAATTTACATTCCCACCAACAGTGCAAGACGGTTTCCTTTTCTCCACACCCTCTCCAGCATTTCTTGTTTGTAGACATTTTGATGATGCCCATTCTAACCACTGTGAGGTGATACCTCATTGTAGTTTTGATTTGAATTTCTCTAATAATTAGTGATGTTGAGCAGCTTTTCATGTGCTTCTTGACCATCTGTATGCCTTCTTTGGAGAAATGTCTATTTAGGTCTTCTGCCCATTTTTGGACTGGGTTGTTTGTTTCTTTAATATTGAGCTGCATGAGCTGTTTATATATTTTGGAGATTGATCCTTTGTCCGTTGATTCGTTTGCAAATATTTTCTCCCATTCTGAGGGTTGTCTTTTCTTCTTGTTTATGGTTTCCTTTGCTGTGCAAAAGCTTTGAAGTTTCATTAGGTCCCATTTGTTTATTTTTGTGTTTATTTCCATTACTCTAGGAGGTGGATCAAAAAAGATCTTGCTGTGATTTATGTCAAAGAGTGTTCTTCCTACATTTTCCTCTAAGTGTTATAGTGTCCAGTCTTACATTTAGGTCACTAATCCATTTTGAGTTTATTTTTGTGTTTGGTGTTAGGGAGTGTTCTAATTTCATTCTTTTACATGTAGCTGTCCAGTTTTCACAGCACCACTTATTGAAGAGACTGTCTTTTCTC